AGCAGAACATAAAAGGGCTTTCAAGAATAGAAAAACAGATTCGACATACGCACTTCACCTTCTAGATCATAATCATTCTTTTAATGACAAATTTAAAATTCTTCACATTCAAAATAAAGGCCTTAAGCTATCTTTAGCCTTAAGAATCTATGGAAATCAACAAATTAAAAACACAGATATAATTCTGAATGACCAACTTGAGACAAACAGTTCTCCCCTCCTCAAACCTATTTTATTAGAGACTATAAATTTGTAAACCCAAGCCAAAAATAGATCACTTTAGAAAGGCAATTAGCCGAAACAGCTGTAGTGATAAGATTTAAAATAAATTTTGTGGAAGTTTGAAAACAAAGTTTTCAGTGTTTTATTGTTACATAAAATGAATTTCCATCAAGTAACGGTCGAATCCATCAATCTTTTAATATTAATCAAAAATCATACTACAAACATTAAATCTATTCATTAAAAGCTAAATATCTCAATAAATGTTAAATTTAGGTATATGAATTTGTTAACGAAACTTAAATAACAGTTAAAGTTCTTTCTAACAATGTCGCAACATAGAGGGTGATACATTTAAGAAAGTTAAAAAAATTTAAGTACCCGTTTTGAATCGCCTTGTATATTAAATATTGTTTTACTCTTCTACTCATCGTAAATCGGGCCTGTACCAAAAACCATTTGTTGAATTTTACTTCATATCCAACATACACTAAGGTTGTTGGTTCGTAAAATATTCAGGGTTTTTATTAAACTTTCTGCATATTACTTCGTTACAAAGCTGTAAATTTAAGAAGCGAGACGATATTTTTTATACGAACAGCTGCTAAGTTGGAAAAGTTATCAACGTGCCCATAAAGTTCCTAAGTAAAAATAAAAACTGATATAAAAGAAACTTTCTATAGATTAAATATTTTCTTTTCCTTCCAAGCTTTATTCAGCGTTTGTAATATTCGGTCGACAACCTAAAACTGTTGCTTAGAAACAAAATGATCGTCATATTCCAGCGAAAATTCACTAACTGACATTTTGTGAAAAAAGTCATTAACTGCGCCGATTATAAAAGTCACTATTTGCTGAATGTGTTACTAAATGGCTATGTTGACAAAAGTGACTTTTTAACATACGAATAAATTGTAGAGATATGCGTTAAAACTCATTAATGACTGTTTCAAAATAATGAACTACTGTTGTGTTTGATTTGACATTTCTTTTCCTCAGTTATTGATAAGCAGTTAATAAGTGAACACTTGTTTAATTATTTCGCTAAAAATATATTCCTTAGTAAGATTTCTTGTTAGATATTGTTATACCAACTGATTGTTGAAGTTTAATAGCTAAAAATATGAGTTCTTGATCCTTAAAACTGGTACAACTTGCCTTGAATAATGTGAGTATAATATAACCTCACTTTTGATATAATACTTGGAATTATCGTAACAGAAAAAGTATTTATTAGGTGTATCACATTTAGGATTCAAAAAGGGACTATGAAAGTCCTACTTGTAGCAAAATGGTGCAGTCTGATATAATTTTAGATGACAATACATCAATGATTTCAAATGAAACGGATGTATGTAACGTGGTAAGTGTGTTTATATTAATTTGTATGTAACTATTTGTCAAGTAATTATATGTTGACATGCAGCAACATGTTGCTGACAGAGCAAATTACGGAAAAGGAAGTCTGTATAATTTACAGTAAGACTGGCTCATTTGATAGTCTAGGTTGAAATTTTGATAAATTTGAACTTCATATTAGTGTTTTCACTGACTTAGGTGAAACCTATTGTTTGAAATAGCATTGCTGCTGTTAATTTAGTTTCAAAAACAATAAATAATAAATATTTGTAGGAAGAATCCGAAGACGACTTTGTTAAAGATATGGACTCGGTCCAAACTGATATCTCAGAAAGTAGTGTCTATGCAGTATGAAGAATTAATTAATATAAAAGAAACAAGCAACATCTATAATTCTGTTGGGAATAATGACGAGACTAAAGAAAGACGACCTTCTACAGGAAGTACAGAAAAGTATGCCCTCTATTAATCCGGTGAAACTAATAATCCGGTGAAACGGAAACACTGGATAAACAGATGAAACTCTTAAAATAATTGAGAATAGAAGAAATCTTTGTAAAAGTGGTGTACATAGTGAAAGGGAAAAAGCTAGTTTAAGAAACCTCAATAAAGAAATAAATAAGAAGATGTAAGGCCGACAAAAACAGTACTATCAAAGTATATGCAAAGAAATTGAGAGACATGGTCAGAATAATCAGCCGAGAGATCTATTTAGAAAAATACGCTACCTGACAAGAGACTTCAGAGCCAAACTTGGGCCATTGAAGATAACACTGGAACCCTGAGAACAAACAGAGAAGACATAGCAGAGACATGGAGATCGTATTGCAAAGACCTATATAAAGATGATTAACGCCAAGAGCTTGTTAGCCAAATCTGTGACGAGGTGGAAGAAGAACCTGATATACTCGAAAATGAAGTAAGACAGGCTATCAACAAGCTCAAATATAACAAAGCACCAGGTCCAGATATGATAACAGCAGAAATGCTTAAAGCCACAGAAGAAACCGGCGTAAAGTTACTTCATCTACTCTGTAACCAAATATGGCATTCCAAACAATGGCCGAGACTGGACAAAATCTACAATAACGACCATACATAAAAAAGGCAGCTTCCATAAATGCGACAATTATAGAACTATCTCTCTTATATCCCATGCCAGCAAGATAATGCTACATATAATCAATGAGAGACTGAAAACATTCCTTCAAAGAGAAATTCCACAAGAGCAAACTGGATTTACCAAAGGTAGAGGCACTCGAGAACACCTGCTGAATATATAAGAAATCTAGGGAATTCAACATCCCACTATACATCTGTTTTATAGATTACCGTAAAGCGTTCGACAGGGTCAAGTGGAGACACTTATGGCGAATACTAAAAGAAGTAGGCGTACCACAACATCTAATTACGCTTATAACTGAACTATATGAACACACTACTGGATCAGTTAAAGTACTTGACACAGTTTCGAACGAATTTCATCCAGAACGGGGTGTCAGACAAGGATGTATACTATCTCCACAATTATTCAACATATATGGAGAGTATATTATGCGAAGAGCACTTGAAGGATGGGAAAAGGGCATCTCAATAAATGGTCATAAACTAAACAACCTACGTTTCGCAGAAGACACAGCCCTTCTTGCAAATAGTCAAGCAGAGCTGATGGAACTTATACGACTGATCGAAAACGAAAGTCAAATATTTGGTCTGCAATTAAACATATCAAAGACAAAGATCATGATAGTGGATATACTACACAACAATCATCCACACATAACCACAATTGACCGGTTCGAGGTTGTGAGCTCATACTTATATCTGGGATCATTAATCACAAACACAGGGTCATTACAAGAAGAGATTAAACGTAGATGTGATCTAGCAAAAGTTGCCACAGCAAAAATGACCAAAATATGGAAGGAATGTCAAATTTCAAGAGCGATAAAGATGAGGTTGATCAACTGCTTAATATTCTCAATACTGACCTACGGATGTGAATCTTGGACTCTGAGACAATCGGAGAGAAGAAAGATAGACGCCACTGAAATGTTCTGTTGGAAGACGAATGTTACGAATTCCTTGGACCGACCGTAGAACAAATAATTCAATTTTAAGAGAGCTAAAAGTTAGCCAACGACTCTCTAGTAAAGTCCATCTCCAACAATTAAAATATTTTGGGCATGTTATGAGAGCAAACACAGAAAACATGGAAAGACTCATAATACAAGGAAAGGTAGAAGGCCGAAGATCACGAGGAAGATCCCAAACAAGATGGATAGATCAAATTACAGGAATATGCCAAAGACCTATGCATGAATTAAAAGAAATGACCAGAGACAGAGATCTCTGGAGACGGACAATACACGACATCACGTCGACCACTACACTCCCCCTGGGGGGTCAGGATTGAAGAGAGAGATAAATTTTGGTGAAAAAACTGCCTGGACATCTTTAGTCTCTTTACTTTGCCTTTACGTGAATTAGGTTATTTTTTACCATTACTACTAATACTCAAATGGCTGTATTCCTATGGAAAACTGCCTAAAGATAACTTTAGTCTAAACTCTGCCTTTACGTGAATTACATTTTTTTAACACTGCTGCTACTAAAATGGCTGTGTTCCTAGAGTAAAGAGCTTGATATATCCGATATCTTCTCGATTTAATCATATAAAATTGCATAAAACTAATATTTCCACACCACTGCATTCCAATAAAAATACATTTCAGTAGTAAGTGTCGTAAAGAAGGTTAATCTCGTATTATTGTTATTATATAAGGATTTTATTAATTTTTGAAGACTCACGGAAAATTCCACAAGGTTATTGCAGTTACCAGTGGCGTGTTAGTATATGTAAAAGAAATATTTATTGGTTAAAATATCTGTGAATTTTACCGATACGCTATATGTTGGTTGTGTCAGCTATCGTTGCTCATTACGTCGTATGTACTGGGGATAAGAAAATGGGAATATTTGTCTCCGTATTTAGTAGTATTGAGAGCCATATCCTATTCAGATTGACACTTAGTATGAATTACGAAGAAAATGATGAAAGCGAAGAAACAGGCCAAACTAGAGGCCGAAGAATTCAGCAATATACTAGAGGGAGAAAAGTGGATAAAAGAGGGTAGAATCTTAAAATGACATAGAGGATAAATAAGTAGTTCACCCCTGTAATAAACAAAATGTCATACTGATAAATTATTACCTGAGTCTTCAAAATACCCTGTATAACATTGATTATATCAAGTGTTTCAAACATTTTTAACTCGACTTTTCTGATTTGTCTAAATTTTATTTAAAACATATGTTGTTGCATTAAAAAATCTTTAACTACCACAAATTTCAAAGATTATATCTGGATACGCTACTGGAAAGCGATATTAAATATATGACAAAGCAGTTATACTTACGTCATTTTCTAGTAAATTGAACATTCCCATTTGAGCAAGTTGTAGGGATTCAGCGAACTTCTCCTCCGCCATTCTAATCTCGTCATCTGGAATATTTGATCCTGTTATGTAGAGTAACAGGCCAAACATGCGGAATTAATTCATGCTCTAAACAAATGCCTTAAAATCTAAAATTCTAATGACAATAACAAGTAATATGAGGGCACAGGATTGGTTGCTACGGCGAAATAAATGTTTTTGATGGTTTGCTTTCAGGCAAAAAACTGATAACATTCCCGGAATTAAAAAGCAACTGAACAAAAATCTTTCAATGAAAAATCAATTAACGTTTTATTAGAAAAAAACATTTTTTAATATTTACTTGAAAGCAAATAATAACCCGAGCTCAAAAACGGAAAACACTTTTATGTCAGTTGAAATATTTTCCTGAATGTGGTATGTAGAAATTTTTTCATTTAGTAATAAATTGCGTATTTTTTTATTTTGCACATGGTTCTGCCTTACTAGATTTACAACAGGATATTGGGTCCAAAAACTGCCGAATATAAGAAATGTAGAATTGCAATACTTGAAAAACGTTACCAGTGATTTTATTTTTATTGCCCTTTTTTGACCAAGAGCTTTCGTAGCCCAGTTTAAGATGTTTGATATCAATTTTGCCCATGGTTTCTTCGATTGTATCACTTTCGATTATGACTTTTATCCTTTTTTTGAATAGATACTCTTCTGGTAAGTTCATCAGCTCTCTTCTGGGTTATTCTTCCCAAATTCTTCATTGTAAATAAGAAATGTAAAGTAAATAGAATAAACAAAATATATAACGGCTTAGTTACTGCTTCTACCGAAATTGTTTATAGTTATTTGCCTGATAATACATTTATTTATATTTTTAATTGTAAATGTACATGAAAAATAAAAATAAATACAAATAAATAATGTACAGTAGAGACTAATTATGACAGTGTTAAACACTAATGACATAGGACGGTCGAAAACTGATAAAAATTGACATAAAACAGTTTGGCTCATAAAACACTTTACGTTATTATATTTGCAATAAAGCAATTAACTTAGTACAGCAAAGCAATAAGCCGAACAGGTGCTGCACGCTTTGATGTTAAAATATTAAAATACAAAATGGGTCTATCATTCTTCAAACGAGGTTAAAAGGGAATAGAGAGAATCGATTTTTAATAAGTTATCATATAAAGTTACATTAACTTGTTATGATTTAAATAATAAAATGGGAAATCCCAGTGGTTGTATACCATAGTTTAAAATACAATGAAGTAAACATTTCTGATGTATGGTGGTATATCTATTAAAACAATTATCCAAAAGGAAAAATATTTCAGAAGGTTTTCACCTTATCAGACCATCATCAGTGAAAACCAACAAGTAAGTATTTCCACCTTAAAATAATTAACCCAAAAAAGGTAAAATTTTGACCTTTAATTTTAAAATGCAGTAAATACTTTTTTGAAAACGATTTCCGGAGATTTTAGTCAGTTAAAAACGTACTTTTCATTACAAGCAACAATTGTGGCTTAATCCGATATAAACATAATATTTCAGTTATGCATGCCACAAAAAAGTAATTTTAGAACCTTTATTCAAAGGTTTTGACTATTATTTAGTCAAATTTATTTCTGTTTCATCTGTCATTCAATTCCTACAGATCGTCTTCTTCATTCGGCTAAAATATTCTTTTCAGATGTTCTGCAAAATGTTCAGCTTTTTTTCGTTACGTCTATCCTAGTTACCGTCTACTCTTGTTGAAGGAATATAAATGACAGATCTTAAGATTCTTAATAGTGTTAAGATAAATATGTCTCATAAATATTCTTTTTAATTCTGATATGTTCTAGATTTTACCAGCCGGTAGAAATTCCAGGTAATACCTACCTGAAACGATCGGTCTACGATTCAAAGGTTCCAGAAGCAGGCCGCTATAAAAACCAGTTTGAGCTACCCTTCATTCGAGACAATTCAGGTCAACATCCGTGGGCTTCGAGAGAAATTCCAAGTTAACGGCACTTTATATAAAGGAACCTTTTAGTTGAAAACAGTTAGTTAGTCAGAAGATAATAGCGCGTCGGGTTTTTTTAAAAGTAACGCTCATATTATAAATAAATTATGTAATTATTAGTGTGAGATGAATTAGTACAAATAAAGACTTTAAAATAACTTGTAAGTGTAATAAATGTACAACTTTTAATAATAAATAAAGACAATACATTAGACTTTAATAAAAATACAACAATAGCTTTCCATAGCAAATAGTCAGTGGTTACTTATTAGACTCCAATTGATTTACTTATATTCTTGTGATTTTCTGATTTATCGGGCCACGATGTGTTTTCGTAGAAAACTACGTTCACACGTGATGGAGCACTTTCCATGCACGATATGTCTACCAGGCTGGGAAGTCTTGTGAGACACTCCACCCTGTATCACCTTGTTTCCAGGGAGGAACGGGTGCTAGATCGAAAGCAATACAGCCTGGGTATCTTTATGGATATTGAGGGCGCCTTTAGTTGCGTCACTTTTGGTTCCAAGCGTGATGCTGTGGAAAGGCACTGGGTTGGCAGCAGCTTGGTCAGGTGGATCTGAGCCCTGCTATCTCAGCGGCAAATAGCTGCGTGCCGAAACAATTGTTCCGTTCTCTAAACATTCATGGAAGGAACATCTCGACGCCAAGGTAAAGAAGGCCGCTACAACTTTCTGTCAATCCATGATAAAGTCTATGCTTACCTATGTTACCATTGTGTGGTAGCCCCGGGCTAGACTGGTTTTACTTAAGGCTCAGTTTAATCACCTCCAGCACTTGGCATCTCAGGAGACATGAGAACCACAGCGACTTTTGAAACTCTGCTGGATTTATCTCCTATACATCTTATTGTAGAGCACGAAGGCATAATGGTGCATCGTCTCAACTGTTTTAGATCCTGATTAGGAATAAATGGGCGAATAGGCTATTGTGACATTTGAAGATAAGTAGGCCCTCGATTGTTGTCCTGTGCTCTTATGGTACAGGTCAGCATGGACCCCAATTTGAGTTTTCATCCTCCTTCTTGGTTCAATTTCCTAAACGGGATCAGTGTAAGGAACGGGAGCTTGCACTGATCCGTCGAAGGGGCTCACCTGGTATACGGATGGTTCCAGAATGGACGAGCATGCAGGTGCTGGAGTATATGGTAGCGTAAAAGGATTTGAGCCTGGCCAGACTCTCGGTTCCCATACATCAGTCTTTCAGGCCGAGATCTTTGCGATCCTGGTATGTGCTCAGGAAATAATAGATAGGGCCTGCTCAAGCAGAACCATCTCTATCGGCTCCGACAGTAAAGCAACGCTAAGAGCTTTGAAAACGTCCAAAGTCAGCTCTCAGCTGGTTCTCAAGTGCTAAGAATACTTGCTTATGTTGCGCTGACCAATAAGTTTAACTTAGTATGAGTATCGGGACACAGGCGTGGAAATGAACGAACGGACTGACGCCTTGGCAAGACAGGGATTTATCTTACAAAAGTCTTACAGCTTAACCCCTCCTTCTAGGTCATAGAAGATGCTCTCTGGTGATCAGTATGCTTACCGACCACTGTAGAGTGAGGCGGCACCTTCATCTGCTTCATAACTAGTCTTTCTATTCACTAATCTCAGTGCCAGTTCTTTTTTTACTCTGCATCACTGATTATCAGAAGGATACGTAAATGATCTGAATTCACGTCCAATGCTTCTTCTATTTACAAATAATTTTAGCTTAGATTTCTAACCAGAAAGAGCTCAATCAAATGAGACATTTTTATTAACATATTATGTCAGCCAGTGTTTTGGTTTTCCAATAAACATTAAATTGGAGCTTAGTTGTTAATACGGTTTGAGCAGTTATCTTCCTTTAATTATTATTGGTCTTGAATTTCATATATAAAATGCGAATTAAATCACTCCTTACTACATTTGTTATCACTCAGGCACTATCCTCACTTTCCTATTCTTCCTTTTCTTTTATTGTTGTTATAGTATCGACCAAAGCATGTAGATGACCAGCGGCTAACCATTGCTAATTACATATCAGCTACCTCTTTTCCGACTACAGCCACCGGAATAAGAAAAGGTACCAACTTTGTACAAATTGTATCAATTGGCCATTTTTCTTTGGGTCTTTTATTCTTTGGACAGTCCCCTCTTAACACTACATTCTTTTCTTTTATTGTAACTTTATGCTCGACAAATATGTTCAATCAACGTGTTGGTTACTTTGTATTATTCGGTTGTAAAGTTCTGTCCAATATAGAGTACTGGTCACCCGATATTGTTCACTCATAGAGTGCATATGTTTATATAATAAATATTCCTTATTTAGCAACCAAAGTACTCATGGCTTTGAATGATGTACAAGCAACTTAGTCTGGCAGTGGTACAATTGTCCAATTGGTTGAGTTAAGCCCCTGTGGGTACCAGAGAATGCCGTATAACATTAACCAGGCTTAAAGCATCTATCAAGCGGTCCGAATCTTTCTATGGAGCATCTTGGGTTTGATTTGTTAGAAGCAGAATAGGAAGCAGTCTATCGAGTTCTTCTAAGCATTCTCACACTATCTTAGAGTCTATCTGAAGATTCCTAAGAGCCCCATAGCCGCTTCACAATCTGCCTTGACAGTCTTCCTCTAACAGATAGGAAGCTGAATGCAGAGCAATTGGGACTCTAGACAGGCCGACCTCCCCAGAGTTTCCAAGCGGTTTCTCATATTTGAAAGGGTCCAGTCGCAAGTGTATCGTCAACATAGCAAAATTAGAGAGGTAACTGGCATGTGAAAGATTTGAGATCTACATGATGAAAAATGTATGTTCCCTACACGGTATCATAAGCTGCTGTGAGGTCTTCACGGATGTTTCGATGCGATTTTGAAATATTTTCTGCAAGCTTCTAACAGCGACTTTGTTATATACTAATTTCTCCAAAAATTGATAAGCACAGTTCAGTCTGCAAATTGATAAGCAAATTCAGTAAGATTTTGCAGGATTTAAAATGGCGACTATCTTTGCCTTTTTTAATTTCTTGGCGAAATTACCACTATGGAGATTTGTTTAAAACAGCTTACAC